AAGATCGCCACCTGGTCCCACGCGTGAGTTCTTAGAAAAAGAAACCTGACACGCGTCAAACTAGGTCACCAACGCCGCGGACGATTCTTTTCTTTCATGCAAAACGTCAAAGTCAGCCGCTGGACACGGGAAGTCGATTAGCGGCGACTATTTTATTACGTGATAAAATTCAAAACTTCCTGCGTTCTAAGAAGCGGACGCGCGAAATCTGTGTATGTGTGTGTGTGTGTGTGCGCGCGCCACGCGCACACACACACACACATACGTGCATGTACGTCAGTGCGTTATCGCAGTAGTAAGCAGCTGAGTGTCCGTAGTAATCGCCCGCGTCGGACAGTCACTTGCGCCGCTCCTGCCTACCTTGTGTGTGCGTCCCGTAATTTGCTTACTATTTTTCCTTATAACTTAAAAACTAAACTTCAGATAAAATTTTGGTAAAGGAAAAATAGTCTTAGAATTATGTCAAGAACACAGTATTTTAAGGACAAACGGTTGTTCTGAATCACCCTGTATATACGTCTTCTCTGGGCGATTCATACTCACTCAGATCTCGGCAGTCAATTTAGTATTTGTCACGTTGCCATTTTAACGGGCGGAAAAGAACTTAGAATCTGTGCGCGGATGAAAATTGAGTGCCTAAGATCGCTCCTGGAGAGTAAGAGAAGCCCTGCGCAACCGATAAGCGAGACCCTAGCGTGAGCCCCTGCCAACCTCCCCAGTTACAGCAGGTAGTAAGTCATCATGCTTTTATTTTAACCGGGATTAACTAAATTAGTTGACTTGTCAAATCAATCTCGTCCTCAGTGCGTCGCGGACAAAATTTAAATGTCCCACCGCGGCCCCTGCGACTCGCGATCAACCCGTGCTTTTCTTTTATAACTTGTTTCCCCTTTTCCACCGCGTTGGAGGAGCTCACCGAAGAGTAAAATGTAACGGCAATATTTATTGGCAATATTGATAACAGCAACATTTAGTTAAGATAATGTTTAATAATATTTGGTACTCGCTC